AACCTGGGACCTCTGCGTGGCAGTCCGGCATGGTAACCGTTCGGCCACGGAGGCAGTTAAGATGATACGGCGTTTACGGTTATTTTTACGGAGTTAGTCAATAACTTTTTATCTTATTATAACTTTTTATAACTTTTTTATCTTTGCCGCTACGGTATTCTGACACAGTAGTCTTTTTAAGTGCTCCTCGAAAATTATTATTTTGTTGTGTAAATATTGCAAGTTTTTTTTATTCAATTTGTAAATTAATTGATTTTAACTATTCAAATCATTAAATAATCAGTTTTTAGTGCATTAACGAGTGTATTTTTAATAGATTTGAACAAAAAGTGCAAAGGGTCGTGTTGCCTAAACTACCCGCGAACGATTTGTGTGCTCGCGCTCCACAAGTGAAATTCGCCGTTCCGCTGCTTCTGTGCGTGTAGCCTAAGTGCGATAATTGCGTGCGAGCCCTTGCTTTGTGTGGTCACTCCGTTCGCTACGTCAACCGACAAAGAGCACATAACGCAGACGCGTCACGTACAGCGCTCAACCGCTCAGAGGCTTATATTAGAGAAGGAGTAAAATAAGACATTTCGGCAATCACAAATTACATATAAATATATTTATTCTTATTTTATTATTACAATGAATTGCTTGGCTTGTAACGGTAGGATAAACAGAGGTGAGGTATTAACCTGTGCTACCTGTAAAGGCAACCATCACTATAAGTGTTTAAACATGACGGTGAACACCTATACCGCCATTAAACATAACTGGGTATGCCCTACCTGTACTATGGGAGTAAGATGTGTCAAAGGCGACGAAACACCAACCCGTAGGCAATTCGAGCAGCGCCCGGCCAAGACCGATGACAATCTGACTTCCAACAGTGCCTCTAATAGCGCTGTACATGGAGTAACGGGTTCATTGAATATTACAGATGCAAATATTTCTGACGTCTTACAAGAACTACGAGCATTTAGAAGCGATTTTGTCGGCATGAGGTGTGATATCCAAAAGGTAACTAACAGTATACAAGAATTAAACAAAAAATTTGCCGAAATGGAATCGCGCTTTAGTAACATTGAAGACAGATTAACAGCCACCGAAAACAAGACTGCTCTGATTCCTAGGCTAAAACAAGACTTAGATTCTGCTAAAAGTTCAATATCGGTTCTGGAAAACGAGTTACAGCAGCGGGATCAATTAGGTAGGATGAACAATATCGAAATATCCGGGATACCTACTACTGCTGGTGAAAACCTCATGGGTATATTACGGGCCATTTCAATTAAGATTGGGCACTCACTGGACGACCGTGACATCGATGGTGTCACGCGTGTGCGAAGGTTCGAGGCGGGTGTGTCTGGGGAAACAAGCAATCCGCGTCCGCCGGCCATTATTGTAAAATTTACTCGACGGCTGTGTAAGGATGCATTTCTCGCAGCGGTGCGCTCGCGACGTGGCCTAACTACTGCTGATGTTGGTCTCTCGGGTCCCTCGCTAAATCTGTATGTATCTGATCATCTCACCCCTCAAAATAAACAATTATTAAAACGTGCCAGACAGATCAAAACTGATTTAGGCTATTCTTATTTATGGGTTAGAGATTGTAAAATATTGATACGTAAAAACGAAAGATCAAAGGTCATTGTTATTAAGAACGATGTCGACATATCAAAGTTAAAGTGACTCTTAATCTATAATTTTATATACTTAAGAGTTAAACAGCCGCGTTTTAGGTTTTCTACCGTGGCTGATAAATTCATGAGTTACTTTGCTGTGATGTGTTTATACTGTATTTGTGATTTTTTGTTCAGTGATGTGGTTAGAACTATTTTGTCTATTCGTATGCAAAGCTCTCGTCCGCCAAAATATTTATATTCAATTATACTTAATAACATCCCATATTTTAATTTAATCAATCCTAATTACTATATTATATGTCATAATCAAATGGCGAAAAATAAATATGTGTTTATAATAATTAATCGCAATGTATCCGGAAGCTAAACTTCTGTTAGGTTACTATCAGAATGTAAGGGGCTTACGTACGAAATCTCATAATTTTCTATCCCAAATAGCTGCGACTGACTACGATTTTATATGTGTGACCGAAAGCTGGTTGACACCCGATTTCTATGACAGAGAATATTTTGATAGCAGGTATGTAGTGTTTCGCTGTGACCGCTCGCATGAGGAGAGCGGTGCGACGCGTGGCGGCGGAGTGATGGTGGCAGTGCGCACTAAATTGATGCCGTTGCGTCGTAACTGGCCTACCCCACCGCGCGCCGCTTCCGACTGCGTTTGGTTATCTATACCTTTAAATATAGATAATAAATACCTAAATATCGCCTGCATTTATATACCGCACGGGCCGGGGTACCGTGACGCGCTGGAAGGTTTTTTTAATTGTGCGAGTGATATATTTAATGATCGACCAAATGACATATTTTTGATTGTAGGCGATTTTAATGTTTCTGAAGCGGTGTGGCAGGGGACTCCTACCTTCAGTAAATTGTTGCAAAAAGGTGGAGACTTTGCTGTAAAAGCATTGAGAGATTTTTTAGCGTTCACTAATTTGCAACAGTTTAATGGTGCGTATAATGTCAATAATCGAATCTTGGACCTAGTGATGAGTAATATTACTTGTAAAGTCATGAGTTGCTCTCAACCCTTAACCCAGGAAGATGCCCACCATAAGTCAATTGAAATTTGTTTGAATATTGATAATTTTAAAACTTTGAATTCATTTCCTACCTACAGTTATAATTTTCATGCAGCAGATTTCGACTGCCTTAACAATGAACTGAAAAATATAAACTGGCTTAAATTATTTGAAACTTTAAACTTAGATGAATGTGTATCAAAATTTTATGAAATCTTAAGAAATGTTATTGCGAAATTTGTTCCTCGAAAAATTATCAGATCCTCGGAATCCTGCCCTGTATGGCATACTAAGCCCCTAAGGAAAGTCTTGAATGAAAAAAAGAAATATCACAAACTATGGAAATTATATGGAAATCCCTTGGACTATCAGTGTTTCAATATTTTGAGAAGAAGAGGTAAGCGAATGGAAACTGAATGCTATAATAAATACATACAATACACTGAAAACAAAATTCAAACAAATTCCAAGTACTTTTGGACCTACGTTAAAGCTATTAAGGCTACCAGCGGGCTACCGCGGACGATGTTTTATAATGGGAAAAGCAGTAGTGACGGAAAACAGATTTGTGACTTCTTTAATGAACACTTCCATTCAGTATTTGTAAATAACACTAGTTAATCACTACCTAATCGGAGGGCTATTCCTTTGAATTGTGTTTTAGATATTGGTTCGGTGGAGATTAACCCTGAATTAGTAAATAAATATTTGAAAAATCTTGACGTTATTAAGGGTGCTGGGCCGGATGGCATACATCCTCTGTTTATTCGCAGGTGTGCGGATACTTTAAGTTTTCCACTAACTTATATTTTCAGATTGTCTTTTGACAATGGTTACGTACCACAAGTTTGGAAGTGTGCTTGGATAACACCTATTCCTAAAGGTAAGGCATGCGAGGAAGTCACAAATTATCGGCCTATTTCCAAATTATGTCAGTTTGCAAAGATACAAGAAAAGATTGTTACTGATCAACTATTTGAGGTTGTACAGCGCGTCATTGTCCCGAACCAGCACGGTTTTTGTAAGAAACGTGGTGTCGAAAGCAATTTGATAACATTTACAGAGCTTATATTGTCAGCAATGGATGAAAATACTCAAGTCGATGCTATATACACAGATTTTGCAAAAGCGTTTGACAAAATTTGTCATGATACACTACTTTTCAAGCTCTGGCAACTCGGAATCCATGGTGACTTGTTTCGTTGGATACGTTCATACATAGGGAACCGTAGTCAAGCTGTTGTACTGTGTGGTTACCGTTCTGCATATAAAAATATTCCCTCTGGGGTACCCCAAGGATCTCATTTAGGACCGTTATTATTTATTATTTACGTTAACGACTTGACAAAATCCATTAATCACTCAAATGTGTTACTATACGCAGATGATACAAAGATATACAAAATTATTAAAGACATGAATGATTCTGCGTTACTACAAAGTGATCTAAATGATTTTGTTGAGTTTTGTAATAGTAGCAATTTATTTTTGAATTTAAATAAATGTTTCGTAATTTCTTTTACAAGATCAAAAAATCCAATAGTATACCCATATAAAATTTGTGGCCACGATCTGGATCGCGTTAGTGAAATTAGGGACTTGGGTGTGGTAATGGATTCCAAACTTTCATTCATTCCCCATGTAGATAAGATAGTCGCAAATTCTTACAAATTTTTAGGTTTCATATTGCGTGTGGGAAAACCTTTTAAAAATGCTTCTACTTATAAACTGTTATTTAACAGTTACGTGCGAAGTAGACTTGAATTCGCAAGTCCGGTTTGGAATCCTCACCAACGGGTCCATCAAGATAAAATTGAAAAGTTACAAAGAAAGTTTGTAAAGTCCTTAGATTATAGAACCGGTAATCAACACATAGATTATGAATCTTCCCTTGTATTTCATAAAATAAGCACCTTGAGACAACGTCGCGATATCACTGATATCACGTATTTGTTTAAAATATTGCATAATATGGTTGACGCCCCTGTTCTATTGGAACAAATTTATTTTCGAGTACCGCGTAAACAGGAAAGAACAAGCCGTAAAAAATATCTTTTCGCCATAAAATCAAGTAAAACTGGCTATGGCAGTAATAGTTTTATAAAGAGAGCATGTGCCTCATATAATAGACAATTAGGTAGTATAGAATTATTTAATATATCGTTAATAAAATTTAAAAACCACATCACTGACCTTATATGTGCTAATGTTGACTAAAATAGTGTAGGTAATTGTTTTTTTGTAATTTTTGATTATTCTTTTGTATTGCTTAACTGGTTGTTTGCTACTTTCTATTATTCGTGTACTTATTATATTAGTAATATAAGTCCTCATAGCGGCGAGTGCGCCGTTGTTGTGTCCTGAGTTTTGTTACGTCATTAAATGGAGTCAGGAGACCTGTAAGGAACGAAATTAATAATTAATATTTCACAACATTACCACAAAATAAGCATTTTTCCCGTAATAATAGGTAATCGAAACACGTTCTATTCATACCTAAAGTTTCTGGCCTTCACGCCATCCATTCATATTTATTTTTTTTTATGATGAAGAATTTAATATCTTGCTATAGATGACGATCATATCATCATCATCACTGTCCTTGATTCATACAATTATAATTATAGATGTTATTATCTGAAATGCAATTTATTAATATTAAGATTTTATTTTCATTCATAATAATTTATTAGTTAATATAAGGTAATAAGTAACATTTGCTGTCATGCTTACCTACAGTATACACCACGTTTGGTGCGTGGAGTTTACATTGCAAAATCCGGGGTTCTCGCAAGCCGTCATATAAATACTAATAATAAGTATTTATCAAAAAGTAAACACATCGCATTATACAAACACTGCGACCTGTATTGAACAATTGTTTCTTTTTTAGGTCTCCGGATCATTTAGATTCCGACTTATGTTAATTTACACTATAGCATTTTAGTACTTATCTCGTTGCGTAACACGACCGCTCGCTCCCGAACGTAACCAACCGGTGCCTGTCATCCAGCAAACTTAGAAAATGTGCGTTCGTTGCATAGTTTGAGGGATACGGGTGGTGTTGCGTTCATTTTACTTTGTTTTTTTTAACGTTTATAAAACTTACGTTTATAAGTGTCAGTATACCGTATACTTTTTTGTTTTATATGCATATTTAGGGAACTGTAGGTTTAGTAATATGTTAATTTTAAGTATGTATATTTTTAAATATGTAAAACTGTTTGTTCCTCAATAAATTAAAAAAAAAAAAAAAAAAAAAAATAACTTCCGGCAAAAAGATGATCGTGTAACAATGACTATTCACGGTACAACGATTCTCCAAAGCAACAGTAGCCACATGTCCAGTTTTTTAAAAAAGAAGCAATCATCCGCTTAGAGGCACTTTGTACGCGCGCCACTTTGGTTGGTTTCGGCTCATCTCGAAAGACCCATACGCTCGATTGCTGCTTTGTTTCGGGATCGTACCTACAAATCCATGTTTCGTCACCTGTTACTATATCTCACACCAAATTTGACGCCCCTACGTTGAATCTGGTAAGCATGGCATTGCTTACATTCATGCACTCAAAGAAGCGGCTGTATTTAGCTATGGAAGAAAAGTGTCGCGGCGTGGTCGTGTTGTTGTAGGGTGGAATAAATATGTGAAGGACTCTCACCGGAGCGCTAGGCAGGCCTTTCTCAACTGGACTTGGTATGGTAAGCCCCGATCGGGTCCGTTATATCGGGATATGTGTGAAACGCGAAAAATTTTTAAACGAAAACTGAAATATTGTCAAGAAAAACGAGAACAACTTTTTCGTATCTTTCCAAAATTTCTCAAAATTTTGGAAAGATACGAAAAAGTTAAGCTCCAAGCCTGGTGTTCCATTGAGTGTGAACGGAGTCACTGAAGCCAGTGAAATTGCTAATTTGTTTGAGAGGCATATTAAAGTAAATCCGTCACCCCTTGAGTCGAAAATAGAGGACAGACTAAGCGATGAGAGCATCATGACTGATGATCCTGTTGGTGTTACGTCCAAGGACGTGAAATATATACTCAAATCGATGACAGGGGGTAAATCTCCCGGACATGATGGCCTAAGCGTAGAACATCTCCAAAATGCGGGTCAACATTTGCCGAGGGTGCTAGCTCTATTGTATACAATTTGTATCAGGCACTCTTACCTGCCCATGGAACTAATGCGGACTGTAGTTGTGCCGATTATTAAAAATAGAACCGGGGATGTGTCTGACAAAAGAAATTATAGGCCAATATCATTGGCCACAATTTTAGCAAAAGTACTTGATGGTTTGCTTCAGCAACAACTTAGCGCCAAACTAAACTTACATGACGCGCAATTTGGGTTCAGACCAGGGCTGTCGACGGAAACTGCTATTTTGTCGTTGAAGCGTACCGTCGGGTATTATACTCAGAGGAATACACCAGTGTATGCCGCGTTTTTGGATCTCTCTAAGGCATTTGACCTGGTTAACTATGACTTGCTATGGACTAAATTGCGGAAGCTAAAAATGCCAATTGAAATAATTAATACCTTTGAGTACTGGTATGGTCACCAAGTTAACCAGGTTAGATGGTCTGGAGCGTTGTCTGAAGAGTACACTTTAGAATGTGGTGTCAGGCAGGGTGGACTGACTTCGCCAGCATTGTTTAGTCTCTACGTAAATGAGCTTATCGTTGAACTAAGTGACCTCAGAGTCGGGTGTTCTATCGATGGTGTTATGGTGAACAGTATCAGCTACGCCGATGATATGGTGTTACTGTGTCCGTCGATAGGTGCATTAAGAAAATTACTATCCGCATGTGAAAAATATGCCAAGAGTCACGGCCTCCGATATAATGTGGAAAAAAGTGAGTTCATGGTCTTCCGTGTCAGTAGTAAAAAACCTTCGTATGTGCCACCGGTTGTCTTGTTGGATACTGAATTGAAAAGGGTGACACAATTTAAATATCTTGGTCACATTCTTGACGAAAACCTATCGGATAACAGTGATATTGAGCGAGAGAGAAGGGCGTTAGCAGTCCGATGCAACATGTTGGCTCGCAGATTTTCTAGATGCACAAAAGATGTAAAAATTACTCTTTTTAAATCCTTCTGCCAATCTTTTTATACCTGCAGTCTGTGGGTCAATTATACGCGGCGGACTGTTGATGCCCTTCGAGTGCAATATAATAATGCCTTTAGGATGCTGATGGGGCTCCCTCGATTCTGTAGCGCATCTGGCATGTTCGCGGAAGCACATGTCGATGACTACTACGCTATTATTAGAAAGCGGTCCGCTTCAATGCTCAGACGGGTTCGAGGGAGCACCTACGGCATCTTGGAGGTAATCAAAGACAAATTTGATTGTCCTTTTTATAGGCATTGGATCGGGAAGCACCTGAATGGCTCCCAAAAATATTTTAATTAGGGTAAGATACTAACATAATTTTAAGATTTTTACTGTTACTAACAAATTATGGATGTTGTGTTGAAAGGATCCGAAATAAAGTCTTTTATTATTATTATTATTATTGCACCAAGTGACGCGATTCGTTGTTTTTTGAGCCACAGTCAAATTGTGTGGGCTCCGCTGAGAGCACAGCTTTTTCACACCCAAATGATTGTGTAGTATTGATTATATTTGACTCATGCCTATGCCTAAAGATGCTCGAATCTCATGGTGTGTCACATGCCTGTCTGTTTTGATCATACGGCGTACAGCATCGATGTTTTTGTTGTTCACAGCAGTGGACGGGCGACCATCACGAAATTCGTCACTGAGATTCACACAACCGCGTTTGAATTCTGCAAACTAACTATAAACAGTCGTCTTGCATGGTACTTCATCGCCAAAAGCAGTCTGAAGCCGAGCGAAGCTCCGCTGAACTGTTAGATTACACTTGAATTCGTAGAAAATCATACTACGAAAATTTTCACGACTTAAATCCATGGTGATGTAGACAACCAATTTCTAAAATGACGCCACAATGTAAAAACAAGTTACTGTCGTAGATGAAACAAACTATATTCTACAGCCAAAGAGTTCCATTTTCAAATGTTGTATTTACTTTCTTAAATATTGTTTATATAAGTGGCCAGTTCCGGAAACTTATAGTGCGCCTTATGTATTCCTTATTTTATCACATCAAATGACGGGACGAACAAGTCTTACGCCTGATGGTAAGTTCACGCATGTCCATAACAATTGCAGTGCCACTCATAGCTTTAAACCGCAAAGATCTGAGGGGCACTACCACTGCGCCCGCCACCCTGAGTCATAAGTTGACAAGTCCAATGTGCCTGTTATTTCACCAGCACCATTACCTTTCAAAACCGGAACACAGTAATGCTCACATTGCTGCTTGGCGGCAGAAATAGGTAAGGTGGCAGTACTTCCCTGGACTAAATCTTTCACAAAGAGCTCTAATGCTACTAACTCTATTATAACATCTATATATCATATTATAACATATTTTTATGTTTGCTCTGCAACATATACCTAGCTATCTAGTATTCCATAATAAGAACTATTATTTGCAATATGGTGTCATCGTATTGGTTATTTCCTAATATGACATCCACCAGAATAAACTATGTTAAATGTGGTTCGAGGTTGAATTCCTGAATGTTCAATTCTCATTAAAATTGGTTTAGAAAATAAAATTTCGTTCATGTGCGGTCTGGTATTGGGATTTATTCGAGGCAACTTCCAGTATTCACTTTTCATTAGTATTTTATCAACATACACACTTGGTAAGCACGAATCCGTAGAGCTGTGTTAATTACGAGTAGCTTTCTATATCTCGTATTCATTGAAATACCTCACTTGATTCGAACTCAATTCAATAAACCAGAGTGAAAAAAAATTAACCCGCAGCTCGTGATATATTGAAATAACAAAATATTTCTTTATTAATGTTACATCATTACAGACGCTAAGTTTTGAATACTCAATGGTTTCCTACACATGATCAAAGAGTGAAGAAACGAAGGTTTATTTCGTAATAAATCAACATTCACGTGTTATTTGTTTAGATTCGACTTTTACAAACTCTTGAGTGAAAACAAGAATAAAGATATAGAAGATATTTTATGTACATATCATACAAGGATGACGTTAGGGTTTGGTATACAGAACCCTCCAGAAGGGCTTGCACGGTAGGGCGCGACTTGCGCGAGAGCGGCATAAAGCGCGAGATGCTGCTATTCTTGCATAGAGATCTTTATGTCGCTCTCGCGCAGTCGCATGCTGTCGTGCTAGCCCTATTGAAGAGGTAGCACCACCTTATTTGTGGTTGAAGGGCAGGGAGACCCACCGCAACTATCAACACGGGTATTAAACTTTTTAGGACTTACGTGTTCGATAACTGCTAATGATATTAAATGCAATTTCTACAATAAATATCTGTAGTATAGTCTGTTTGACGGTTTAGATACTATAAAAAGGTAAACGCTTAATTTTAAACGAAGATCTGATCAATATAAATGGGTTTGTCATAAATTAGGCTTTGTATATTTGGAACGAATAAAATCCGTCGTAAGAGGTGAGATGTTTTTTTAAGTTCACTGGTGTACTAGAGGCATATCTGAAGATATTAAAAAGTTACAACTCGATTAAGTCAAAGGAATTAATTATATACGTGCTTTCAGTTAATTAATATCTCTTCGAACAAGAATCATGACATGTTTGTAGCTAATAATAAATTATAATATGAAATCGAGTTGCGGACACCAGCCCGTTACACCAAGTACCAAGTAATTACTTCATTAAGAAAGTAAGAAAAATGATAACATGTTGGTTAAAATTTAAAAAAAAGGAATTAATATACAAATAAATGGCATACTATATTAAAACAAATATTTGTAACGTACACACACTCATAACGTACACACTCAACACTGTTTGTACTGTGCTGTTGTCCTGTCTTCTACGTGGAGTTATTTGTAGATTTTTATTACAATAGCTAACGAAGCAATATTATGACAGATTTCTTTTTAATTGCATTTGGGCATGGCTACTGCTAATTTTTGTAAACAGAACGTTATTAAAATTTGTCTGTAAAGGGAATTGTCTTGTATACACTCTGTGTCAGGCGTGGCATTCAAGCCATATGACCGTAGACAAGCGGGTTGATTGGGGATAGAGGGAAATGGACTGTATGGAAAAGTAGGTTTGGAGAAAGAGGGATCGGCAGGTAAAAGGAGTGCTGTACAACTGAACTATACTACAAATACATACATAG